ACACACACACCACATACACCACACACACACACATACCACACACACACACACACCACACACACACCACACAAACACCACACCACACGCATACACACACCACAAACACCACACCACACACACACCACACATACACCACACACATACACACACACACACAAGTACCACACACCATACTACACACACACACACACACACACACACACACACCTGTTTCCTTCTCCTGCCTCTGCCTTCTCCTCTTATCCTTCGTCCCTCCCCTTTTTCTTTCCCTTTATTTTTGGTGGTGATTTCTACTGCTGTGTTGGTTTGGGGTTGGGGTTATTCTGGCAGCAGACTGAGTAACAGGTACATCCTATCCCAGGTTCCGCCTAGTAAATCACAGTGTCCAGAGCCTGACATTTGAAGCTGCTGGTATATTAATGTCTAACTTCCAGTGAGTTTCCAAAGGAGGCTGGTGCTGGCCAGTGAGAGGCAGGGGTCTGGGTAGGGACAGGAGCCCTGGTTGAGGCTTAGTTGTGAGGAGAAGTCAATGTTTGAGGTTACCGGAAGGGAAAAGGACAGATGAGAGGGACAGACACATCGGGGGTAAAATCCACAAATGAGGGCTGCGCTCCAGCCCACTGGGAATGGGAATGGCAAAAGAAGTTTCAGAGTTGCTAGGTTGAGGTATGCAGATCAACCAGTCTGGCCTGACTCAAAGCTCCTAAAATAATCCCTTCATTCTGGTGTACACAGGGCTCCCTGAGAAGTGCTTCCCAAAGACTGTCATTAGCACAAGGAACCACACGCAGGTCCTGCCTTAGGAATCTTTGGTGTGGCTTTTAGAAGCAGTGAGTCTTGGCTATGTGCATTAGCAGGAAGAATGGCGTTCCACTCAAAGGGCTGACCGCACTGGCTTTAGACGTTAGTTGTCTTACTTTTCTTGCTGCCACAGAATACCTGACTAAAGCGACTGAAAGGTCAGGAGACGGCTCAGAGGTGGAGAGCTGTGCTGCTCTTGCAGGGATCTGAGTTCAGTTCCCAACACCCACATCAGGCAGTTCCAGTCTGCTTGTGACTCCTCCTTCGGTGGAATCTGATGCCTTCCGCCTTCAAGGGCACTTGACTCAGGAGCACATACAAACACGTACACAGACACACACACA